CATACGCCTGTACCATAGAAACGTGTGTACACCTGTACCATAGAAACATGCATACGCCTGTAACCATAGAAATATGTGTACACCTGTAACCATAGAAACGTGTGTACACCTGTACCATAGAAACGTGTATGCCAGTCATGAAGGTGGCGTGGAGCTGAGCACATTTTCACTTTATTCTTGACACATTTTGAAGTTTTGCGTGAAAAAGTGTGTACGACATGTTTTTGTACGTATGCACCCTTTGTACATGAGGCCCTGATGGATTTTACTAGACTATACCAAAAAAGTGAAGACTATGGCCAATGCACACAAATCTATAGACGGTGGTGACACATGTTTACAACTTCAATGTCAGGGTAACAGCTTTGTTGGCAAGTGACCATGATATAAACACAAGAGACGTTCTTACTTATTGCACTCTACAGATGACACGATGTGGTGGTAAAAGCACAACCCCTCGCAGTTCAAAGAGATACAGAGTGGACAACACCGGTTTGCCATGCACTACTTTCTGTGCCTGTTTCCTTTTAGGATGCTCAAAACTTCATGAACCTGCATTGAACATTATCATCAAGACAATGACCTCAACTTGGACCATTCATAAATAGAGAATCAACGTTGGATACTCCTGCGTCGAGGTCAACGAGATGTTGTGATGTTTCCATGAAGGGAAGCTACTTCATTCAAGATTCAGATATTTTTCTTCTTCTATTGAAATAATTAACAGAATCTATCAGGACAGGGAAACAATGACGATCAATTGGTCTCTACTGGTCTTTACCGGTCTCCATGGCAACCTTTGAGTAGGAGGCGTGGCCTGATGATCATCTGTGGACGCCTCCTCCCCCTGCTGGTCAATATGAGGATTTAGATTTTAACATCTGTGTAAATAATAAACAACTTTTGACCTCCTGCTTCGTTATGCTGTTCGCGCAGCTTCAAGCTGATGATCAGGAAGTAGTCTGCTCTCACCTGTCGACGAAAAGCTGAAGCAGCTGAAGAAGAAGAGGAAGAGGTGGTGCAGGGTGCAGAGCTCTCATCCAGCTTTGCCTGCAGCTGATTGGCCATCAAACGGACCCTGGACCAATTTGCCCCGCCCACAAATGGCTCGTCACCATCACTGTTCAGGTCACATGACTGGAAGGTGAACCAGAAGAGAGAAAAGCCTTCGTCTGACAGAAACTCAACTTGAACAGTCAGCGTTCATAAAGTAAGTTTATATGGTCTGTGCGACATATTTGACTGTTTGTTCTGTAGAACATCTGAGATGGACGGATGTTGAGGGAACCTTTACCTCCTGAGGCTCTCCCCTCAGCTCGCTCGTCCTCCTCCGTTTGTTCAGAGCGTCACTGAACTCCTGCACAGATTTCAGATCAAAGCAGCTCAAGTCTCAGGCAGGAGCCAGCAGGTGTGAACAGGTGTGCTTGCAGGTACCTTTGGGTTCCTCTTCCTGGATGGACTAGTTCCCAGTCTGCTGAGGAGGGATGCTGGGGCGATGAGAGCTGCTCTCAGATCAGAACACTGACTCAGGCAGCCTGAAACAGAACCTGCACAGATTCACTGACAGAACCAGAACCAACAACTGAACACGAACAACGACTTTCTGATGCACATGGTTGGTGGTTCTGCTCTGATCCCAGATCAGTTCTGTTTAGTAGTGACGTGCAGTCAGGGGAGGCAGGTTAGGCAGTGCCTCACCTGTCATCACGACAAGTAAAATACTGACAATGATAAGAGAGAGAACTTTGAGCAAAAGAGGTTCTATGAAAAGGAACCTTACAGTCGACAGTTAAAGCTGCTCTGGAAGATCTGCTGCAGTTTCTGTAGAACTGCTTAATGGTTTGGGTGCAAGTCCATTTAAACATCAATTTGAAACAATTTTAATTTATAAAATTGGAAAATTCTAGAACTTAGCTAAAATATTACAGTGATGAAATCTGATTGGCTTTTGGTATAAAACCTTCAAGTCCCGACTGTGGAGAGTTTCCAAAGGTTTACGTGCAGTTTGGAGAGTGTGTGACCAGACAGCAGCTCCAGAAGACAGATGTGACAGAATCACCGAGTTGAAGAACATCCCTGCACAATGAAGTGTCAAACATTTTCTAATTATTTTAAAACTACTTATGTTGAAATATAAGCTTCTGTTTTGGGTTCATGTATGTGAAGCTCGCCTGTCACGCTCACCGCACGTCACTGCTGTTTAGGTCAAACTGCTGGATCTGAAGCCATTTTAAACTTTTATACAAACTAATATTCCAGACAGAGCAGCAGATCTGCCCCACAGCTGGATCCACAGGGGCGTTGGTAACAAATTATAAATACTCACATTACAGTAATTAAGTAGATTTTTTAAGTACTTGTACTTTTGTGAGTATTTCTTTCAAGTGTGTAATTTTACTCATACTTAAGTACAATTTAGACCATGTAATCTACTTCACTACTTTTAAAATCAAAACTTGCTACTGAGTACGGCCACAAATTGAATTAATGTTTAAACGGTTCATCTGCATCTTTGTAGCCAATAAGGACAACGCCGTAGAGTAGAGAGTCATTTATGGACCGAAGATTTGGAGAAAAAGCCAAAGTAAAGACAGAGGACCACGCTGTCAACAGAGGACACGAGGAGGTAAAGGCTGAGGACGAGTGTCCGTGGCCGTACCTGGAGGAATGTTTCATGCACAAAGGGCGAAAAGGAGACGGAGTCCAGATGCAAACTTAGTTTGATCTCTACGGTGACAGCAGCTGACAAGACTTCAGCATCTAATCTCAAAAAGCACGCTGCGGTACATGAGGGTATATGAGATGAGTGGGTTACTAGTTTGGCCGAGTGTGTAAAGATCTTAGATATTGTCACTGCCATCTCTTTTCCTGGTACTAAAATAAGACGGAGCGTCAGAGAAACGAGCTCTGAATGTAGCTGTTATATAAAGTAAATCAATCTGAACGTCTTTCATTAACAAAATAAAACATCAATTGGTTAAAAAGTAATTAATACACTGAGAAGTTTCTGAGAAGAGTTTTAATGATGCTTTAAAGTGACTCAAACAAATTAAATTATATTTTAGTAGAAGAATAACTAACTTCTAACATGTACATTTTTTAATGAATTTATGAAATATATACATTTAGAAAACATGATAAAATGTCTGTCAAAGCTTTTTCACCCTTTTTAGTTGGACTGGAGCCATAAATCTCCTCTTTCCATTTCTTTTTAAGGATGCAAACCACAATGTATATCGCATTACAATTTTATTTTAATTTCTTCTGCAACTCAGAAAACTGAACATTTTTATGTTGACGCCCATTATTTGTCACTACCAAAAATGGGCGGGGCCATTTAAAGAAAATGGAAGCTCTTTGTAGTATTGTTTGTCTCTGCATCTTTTGTACATGGTTTTAATCATTTGACTGTTGTTTTAGTTTAAACTCTTTTTGTTGTTTAAAACGGTTTTTTTTTTTGTTTGTTTGTTTTTTTTGGGGGTGTTGGAAGTTTGGGTCGGGGGTTTCTTAACAAACCTGTCTCACACAACTCTTAAATGCAATCTTCTCTTGTTTACTGTAAACTTTTCAGTAAGTCAGTATTTATCCTGTACCAGTTCTTTCACTCTTTTTTGTTTTAGACCAAATTGTGTTCTTGTTTCAATTTCTAAATTTATTCAAATGGATATAATAATTAAAAGTGTTTAAGAAGCAGTTTGTAGTCTCACCAGCAGGGGTCGATGGTTCTCTGAGCAGCTGGTAGAACTGACTCAGGTACATCACCATGGACAGAGAGTCCGGTTCTCCATCAGACGACGTTTCGTCTACCGTCATCAAAGGAGGAATCCCAAACTCCCGTTCAGCCACATCGAAGGCGAGTTGAATGTTTTCTTCCACCGATGATTCATCCAGAGAGTCATACTTTCTACACAGGAAGTCGTCACAGGCCAAGAAAAAATAATAAACTTTTTGTAAAACAGCACCTCGAAGAAACAGCTGACCATAAAACAAGAGACTTCCATCAAAATCAGAAGTTTGATCTGAACCAGAATTATGACAACAGTTCTGAAGTCTCTGGGTTTTAAAAAGACAATTAAAAAGAAAATCAAGTGAGTTTTTACATCAGATCGGGTCGATAACGGTGAATAAGAGCACACAGGGCAAGGCCGCTCTTCCAGGATGTAGTCAGGTCCATAATGGCGACACCTTTGTATCCACGGGTCTGTTCCTGACACCATGATAGCAGCTGATTGGACGGAGAGAAGGACTCTGTGACAACAAATCAGGTTAGAGGACAAAAAATAATAATTATTGAGTGAATGCTGAGTCGGCATTTATTCTTTGCTGGCAGGACATTGTTCTCTTTGAAATCTACTTCAGCTACTTGCTCCCTTATTGTCTTCTTGTGCTACTTTTAGCTTTTAGATACCATTTTACTTTTTTAGCTATTGTTCTGTAACGGTTAGCTTTTACCTACAATTCTGCAAATTGTAGTTACCATTTTGCTACTTTTAACTTCTAGTTAGACTTTTGATACTTTTAGCTTTTAACTACCATTCTGCTACTTTTACTTTTAAAGTATAAAAAAGTAAAGACACCTTGTTTTAGAATTCTGGGTGAGGGGAGTCGGACAATTGCACTCTCATCTGTGTTCAGCCCCGCCTTCTCTCCTGTGTCCACCAGGTGTCTTACCTGATAACAACCCCCCACCCCACAAAACAACAACAACAACAAAAAACATCAATTTATTATTTTTATTTGTCAGAGACAAAATTGACGAGATCAAATCAAACCAGTCTTTCTGTCTTCAGGACTCACCTGGGCAGGTGTGACAGTCAAAGGACTGATGTTCAGATATCTTGTTGATGGATCTACGGTGAACAGACTGATGTTCTTCTGCATGTTTTCGGGAGTTGTCTGAGGGAGGAGACGGTACAAACTCTCCCTACAAGACACAGACAGACAGGTGTGATGTAAAACATGAGACAGCAGCAGGTCAGTCTTGTCCAGGTGTGTCCCCACCTCTCAGCCAGGACATCCAGAGGAGCTTCACCTTGAGCCCAACTTCTTATCATCCAAGCTGAGTCCAGAGCTGCTAGAAAGCCCCGAGCTACACCTGTCCCCATTGGCCAAAATGGCTGTAGACAATTAGGAAGACAGGTAAAGAATCTGACTGGTTACCAGTGTGTCCACCTTCATCAGAAGACACCCGTCTCACCTCCAGCAGGCTGTCTCCGACCAGTGTGACCAGCAGTTGGTGCCCATGGCGTTGGAGAACCAAAGCAGCATTCTCTGATGCATACATACAGGTGAAGTCAAACATGGCCACATCTGGCTGGCCATAGTGGTTCATGGCGAAGTCCAGAAATGGAAGCTGGTGATTGGTTGAAAAGTCAGCTGCCTCACGAGCGTACATCTGCAAAGCATCATGGTCCACGTTACCCCGAGAGAGGAGCAGCTCAGTGTCGGCGAAGTCCTGCAGAAGGGAGCCATAAAAAGGTTACTGTGGTTTGCTGTTGATTCCAGGTGTAACTCTTACCTGTATGAGACCATAAGACCAGGTGTGTGACTGACATCTGTATGAGACCACAAGACCAGGTGTGTGACTGACACCTGTATGAGACCAGGTGTGTGACTGACATCTGTATGAGGGCAGGTGTGTGACTGACACCTGTATGAGACCATAAGACCAGGTGTGTG